CCTACTTCTGCATTCCTTCTTACTACATTCCTACTTCTGTAAAACAGTTCCCCACGAAAAATGTTGAGGTTAATCTCAACTTTACTCAGTGTTTAAAAAGAGAAAAAGGTGGGGGAGAAGTATATTTGCATCTAGAGCTCTTTAAATAAAATTAACTAAAAATTGAGTTTCTTACTTGAGTTAGCCACATGTCAAGTACCTAGTAGCCACATGCAGCGAGCGGCTACCATATTGTTTTGTAAAGATATGGATCATTTTCATCATGGCACTGAGTTGGAGAGTGCTGATATAGGACATTCTAAGGAACAAAAAATGTTAGAGTAATAAGACTATTGATAACTGCCAGAGAGATTACCTATCTTTAGAGAATTTTTCCAAGACAATCTACCTTTTGTATAATTTTTAGTTTAGAATATACCCTGAAGGAGGCATTTTATGTCATTTTTCAGCATTAACATAATCATTTATGGCTACTTGGCACTTCTCAGCCATTTTGCTAGTTTGTTGCTCCTGCCCTTGTATAGATAAAGGAAATATAACACAGAAAGTTATCCAAGGACAAGATGAAAGATGAGAAATCTCAATTCTCTTGTTACCATTCTCCAAAAGGAAACCTACAAATCACTAGGCCTTATAAAAAGTTGTTGTCCTGGAATGCATAATAATAATTGTTGGATCAATTATTATTTTTTAATTTCACTTCTTGAGAGGGACCTCAGAAGATTTGCATATCCTCTATTGATCTAGTTCTTTTTACTAGAAAATAGAGTAGGGAAGTAGGTCAGTGCAGTGCTAAAAGCAAAAGTAAGCTCATTTTCCCCAACATCATCATATTTTCATCTTGGCTCTGAGACTGATACCAACAATACCCACTGGCTTCGTGCTCTCTGACACATCGTCCAGTTCCGTATGGCATCTGTCCTAGTGGAGCCTTATAGCTGGCTCCTTGCCGAGGACAGAAGCAGAATTGGCACTCGGGATCGTGTTGCAATTTACAGGAGAGGTGCCAGCAGAGGTGTCCAGGGCCCTCGAGTGGTCACCAAGTCCCTGGGAAACATCGCCCTAGAGAATCCCAGTTCCTGGAATAGTAGGGAATGGCGACTGGCTTTTAAATCTTTCTCCACCCATGTTCTGCACTTTTTGTTAAGGGTGTGACATTGGAAAAGGTACAGTATCTCTGTGACTCCCAGTTCCTTCATCCCTAAAATGAAAATGATTCCAATTGGAACTGTTGTGATATTTTATGTCAAGTACCTGGCAAAGAGTAGGCTATTGATAAGTATTAGTTGAATTTCAATCTCCGTTTTTTTTTTTTTTTCTTTTCTTTTTGGTATCAGGATTAAACCCAGGGGCACTTAACTACTGAGCCACATCCCCAGCACTTTTTTGTATTTTATTTAGAGACAGGTCCCTAAGTTGCTGAGGCTAATTTTGAACTCACAATCCTGCTGCCTCAGCCTCTCGAATCACTCAATCTACATTTCTGCACCATAAAAAGCACTGTACTGGATGATCAGGATGGCTAAGGAGTGATGAGAAGTGAGTTAGTATTAATTTTATTAATTTAATTGTAAATAGAGGTCTGACTGAGGGTCTTTTTGAGATTTAGGGTATCTGTTCCAAAAATTACTTGTCCATGAAGAATCACCTCTTTGTGGGCTCTGGCAAATACTCCCAAAGGTTTTGCTATGAAACACATAATTTCTATCTTGCTTAGAAGTTTCCTGTACCTCACCCTCATGAGGACAAAAGAAGTCAGTGACTCTCCACTAGAAATGAGCATCAGCCAGGAAACCTGAGTCCCTGGGAGGAGGAGCATGGGTAGATTAGAGCAGAATTAACCAGACTGTTGAAATACAGGCAGGATTCAGGGTAGGGAATTCAGTAACAGTGGGATATGACTACCAATTCCAAGTGACAGCTTCTGATAGGGAGGGTGTGGTGGTGGTTTTAATTTACTGGACAACAATCATGGCTGGATTTACTTATGGCACCGCGCTGCCTTGAGCACTTGGTGTAAATCTTTGGAATAGTTATTTGCCAAAAGACAGACGGGAAAGAATGTAGATTTGGTTGGGAGATGCTCATGAGTTTGACTGTGTGGGAGTAGAGAGGAAGGGGACCTGTGGAGATGAGAGACAGCTTTATGTGCTGATTGGATAAACCAGAGTTTTAAAGTAGCTTAAAGGACCCTTAAATTTGGCACCTTTTACCATCTTTCACAGAGGGAGAACAAAGGCACATATGCCCATTTTAGACCGCCTCTTGTTCCGCAGCAATTTCAGGGACCTGGTAGGACTCGCTCTTGGCTTATTCTTCCCATGGATTTGCCACGAGCTGTTTACTCTCAACACAAGCCAGGCAGAATAGAATATTTTGCCACATGGTGGATTAGAAATATTTTGCTCTTTGGGGCCCAGTGGACATAGGTTTGAATTCTAGCTCTACAATTTATAAGCTAGTCATCTTTGGAGAGGAACGTACTTCTTGGTTATTGGCAACTGAAAAATATACTTTCTCCGAGGGTTGCTAGAAGAATTAAAATCATCAAGTACCTAGCACCGTATTTGGTATATAAAAGATACATATTGTTCTTATTTACAATATCTATTGTGTTTGGATCTATATTGTGAAAATTTAGGATTGAAAAGTAAATCTGTCACTCATTTCAGATGCTTCCACAAATGCCAAGAAGGAATTCACAGGAGAAATAGCTTACATTTATAAAGCACGTATTCTGTGCTGTGTTCTGCGACTCTGTGAAATGGAATCTGTTCTTCCCATTTTATAGATGAAGGGTCGAGGCCCAGAGTAGCACACTTAGGAAGTGATAGTCCCAGCAATCGGAGGCCATGCCCTTAGCCACTGAAGTATACTGCCTCAGGATGATAAAAAGTCTCCAGGAAGCCCTCTGACAGAGATGATAAAATACACACTTACCTACATAAAGACCAGAGTTTGTGCAAGACTTGAGCCCTCATCTCAGCTTTCCCTTCACTTAAGGGTCTTGGCTAAATTTGTGTATTTTGAGAAAATGTAAAAAGCCACCTATTTGGAGAAGCATTGAGGAATGTTTGCTTTAGGAATCAAAGTTTAGATATCGGACGAGAAAACTGCCACCTGACTCCTTCATTATATTAATTGTGGTCTGTACAGATAAGTTGCAATAGTCCCATTTTTGAACTTCTGGTTTCTGTTAGCTGAGACCTGTGGCATTGCCTTCCTCTTTGCATTCTAGCTGGTTGTCAACAGCAATAACCACGAGTTCTTCCTGTCCCAGAAATAAGCCTTGCCACACTCCTCGCTTTCAGCATGCCGTGAACACTCTATTCTGTGCTGCCCGTGGCTCTGCCACCTCCACCCCTCTGCAGTCATGGCTCCACAGGGTTAAAGTGTTTGTTGAATTTTCAAAGAGTGATTGGAAAAGAAGTATAGGTGCATAAGAACAAGATAAACGACCTAGCTCCAATATAAACAAGCATTACATTATACCTAAATTGTTGAAAGATTTTGTACTCAGTATTTTATTCAGCAGAACATTTTTTATAACAATAAAGTTGATTAGAGGAAGCTCTGAAAAATGCTTCAAGTTAGACAGTTTGATTGTTTATCCCCAGAATAAAAAATAAATAAATAAAATGGTAAAATAGGGGGCTAAGAAGTAGATTGAAGTCGAGACCTAGTGAAGAGTATTTTGACACCATTTTTCTTTCTCCGGTAAATCTAATTGAGGATTTCTCCTTTCCATAAGGTTTGGGTCTTTTAACTGTTAGTGTTGCTTTTCTTCTCCTTCTGTTTTATAAGGGCTCAAGACTAACCTAGATCCACAGCAGATTTAAAGTGCTCTTTTTTTATTATTATTATAACAAAATAAGAAACTCTGCTTAAGATCTTTCAGTACCTTTTTACTCTTTCCCTGAGGGTACAGTGAACTCATATCTGCCATTTGCAGTTTAGTTGGAGTCCACGTGTCCCCTTCCTGATCTTTCCACGTGTCCCCTTCCTGATCTTTCGGCTTCTGGGCAGGGGGTAGTCATGGACCAGGCTCTGTAGATATGGTGTCTGCTGGGTTTGCACCTGTTCATGTATGTTGTATTTTCATAGGCTGAGAAGCTAGACCAAGAGCACAGTTCTGCTCTGAGTGCTGCTGAGAGTCAGTCTTCTCACTTGGCAGAGTAGCGGGCATAGGAACCATGTCAGGGGGTGGGCGAGACAGAAAAGAAAAGGGTATGCGCTTTTGCTTTGTTATTTACTCTAGCTCAAATTGGTGTGGGGGATCCAAGTCAAAAAGGAACATCTTTATGGTATTGCATGGTGATGGCCAGAATTGCAGGCTTGAAAGGAACAAGTCTCTTCCAAATGGGGGTTTGAACGAAGCAACATGAGGAAGACTGATATGTGAAAGCTTATGGTTTTGTTCTTTGTATCAGCCCCAAATATTTACTGAAGCTTGGAGAAGAAAAGACAGACTTCCTTTTTTTTTTTTCTCCCTGCTCTCCCAAACGTGTGATTGTTTAGAACTTAAGTGCAACATCTGGAAGTCAGATATACAGAGAGCAATTTATGGAGTGTGAAAGATTTGAAATATTCAGTGTCCTTTAGTGGGAACTCAACTTTCTGGGGCTGCATTTTTTTTCCCCCCAGCACAAAGCCGGCAATTCTGAGATCTCTTTGCCTGTCTGAATTAAACCCTTTGTGCCTGGGTCCCATAAACAATGTGCTTTTTAAAGGGGCAGCCCCCTCCCAGCTCTGGCCCTTTTCTCCGGTGTGGGCAGCCAATCAGCTGCGCAGGGCTGCTTTGCTGGAGCGCTTTCCATTCCTAGCAGCAACAACGTACTAATTTGATGCACACATGGATGCCTCGCGCACTCTGCAAATTCATCACTAGCATCTTGCATTAGTCATCTGACGGACTGCCAAGTGTTTCATTTTCTATCCATGTGACTTTATTATTACCACCTCTCTCCTCTCTTCCAAAAACCTCCAAAAGAGGGCGGGGAGTGGGGGAGAGGAAGAGAAATCCAGCAGAAATCCAGCCCTGCCTTTCTCTCCCAGCCAGTGCTGAGCAGATAACACTGCCGGTGCATTGATGGCAGCCTTGCAGATTTAGACCTGCACTTAACTTGCAGCTGCCTCCCAAACCCGGGTTCCGAGATGTCCACGCCCTGGGTGACAGGCAGCGGGGCGCTGCCCTGTGCTCCGGCGGTGATGCTGAACAGCAGCAGCACGCAGTGAAAGCCCCGTGCCGCTGCCGAGGAGCAACCTAATGGTGCCTCTGCTTTGTTTTAGTTCATCAAATTGCTACGACTCATTAGGCACTTTCCTCGTGCTCCTCTCCCTCCTCCTTCCGCCTCCCCAACCCCCACCCCTACTATTTTTTTTTCTTCCTGTCCCTCACCCTGCAGCCCTAACTCTGGCTCCCGGTTCCGTTTTTGACAGTAACGGCACAGCCAACAAGATGAACGGAGCTTTGGATCACTCAGACCAACCAGACCCAGATGCCATTAAGATGTTTGTCGGACAGATCCCCCGGTCGTGGTCGGAAAAGGAGCTGAAAGAACTTTTTGAGCCTTATGGAGCCGTCTACCAGATCAACGTCCTCCGGGACCGGAGTCAGAACCCTCCCCAGAGTAAAGGTACAGACAGCTCGGGGCTCCCGGGGCAGGGGTCTCCCAGGTGCCCAGATGGGCGTCGCGGGTATCGCGGGCATCTTGGGCGGGCCACGGCTACCCAGAGCCCTCGCCTGCAAGAGGGAGGGCAGCAGAGAGGGAGGGCGGGCTGGGAGCAGCTGGTGCTGGCAGCCCTTGTGCTCCGGCTGCTCCTCCCGGCTCCTCCCCCCACTCCCGCCCGCCCGCTGGGACAGGTGGGATGCGGGAGGGAGGGCCTGAAAGCTGCTTGCGCCTCTGTCCGGGCACCTGATTGCTCCCTCGAGGTCACTTTCGAGGCAGCACAGGCTCTTCTTGGGCGGGGTGGCAGCTTCTCTAAGGAATAGTGTTTCTCAGCCTTGTATTTCAGGAGCTAACTCTTTCTGTGCTACCTTTCCGTGGTTTCTTGTGTAATTACAATTGTATTTCACTTTGCCACAGCCCGGAGGGACCTCGAAATGCCTTGTAAACTGTTAGAGCAATGCCCTGGTGCAGAGAAGAAAGGGTTCACTTTTAGGAGAGACATCCATGCTTTGGGGCTTAGGTGGAAATCATTAAGTGTGCCTTTTGGAACCAGGGAGTAGCGCCCTAGTGGCTTAAGATAGTTAGCACACCTTCTAAAATGCTTGAGGTTTACGCCCTTATCAGTGGTAGGATTAAAGTGTACAATCTGGTGGTTGTTGCTGCCTCCATTTTAAAATAATGGTGATAGGATGGAGGTTGCAGATATTAAAATAGAGGCCAGAAGCCACTGTAGCAGGTGGATGCTTCTGTGTATTCAGGTCCTACTTTGTAAGCTCTGCACAGAGCTGAATTTAAAACATCTCTGCTCCTGCCACTTGGTCTCTGTTGCTGTTTAACCTTCTTCCTTAGTAATTTTGTTCTTTCTCTGTTGTTGATCTCCCAATCTCTCCACTTAGGGCTTCTCTGCCCTGTAGATCTCGCAATTTGTTCTCTATGCCTCGGTACTTCTGTCCAGCTGTTGTTTTATTTTTCTGTTGCATCCCGGAAGAGAAATCTCATTGCTTGGTCTGTATATACTTTAGCCGGGCTCATGAATATTGGTGTATACTTTTCTGTGAGCTCTTTCCTTATTGGCACAGTGAAAGGATCGGAGTAAGAAATCTTTAAGACTAACATTCTTTGAGAAATATTGGGACATCTCTTGTTCTTGATAGTTCCCTAGGTCAAATGGGGTTTTGGGGAGCTTTGTAAGGTGTTTAAAAGTCCCTACTTATTTTATAAAGGTGAGCAGACTTGCCTTCAGATTATGTTCATAAGATGATAGTTTTCTATTTCAAAACGTATAATACCAAAGTTGTTTTTTAAAAGACCATGGTAGGGCTGGGGATATAACTCAGTGGTAGAGTACTGGCCTAGTATGTTTGAGACCCTGGGATCAAATTCCCAGTACCAAACCCCCACCAACACCCCCTGGGGGCAGAGAGGGGGACATGGAATTTTGTCATCACAAACTTCCAAGTTCATTGACCTGTAATTTGAAAAGCAGAAAATCAGATATCTGAAAATCAATAGAAATAAAAACCTCATAAATTAGAACAACTCTGAACACTTTTAGTAAATATATTCTGAAGCTATTTACGTACATGTTTCCCAAATGGAGAAAACAGTTTGTTTTAATACTTTCACAGTATTCTACTGAGGAGAGAGGGTGTAATGTACAGGATAGAGCCAGGGAGTCCCCAAATAAGGGCCCTCCCATTACCTAGAATAGCACCCAAAGAAAACTAGGCCAGAACAGCAGCCACAGCTTGTCCTTGACTAGGAAAACGTGACTCTGAATTTTGGGTTATCAGCAATTTTCAAAATGACCTCAGACAAAATAATCAGCTCGTTTATTGTTAATGCTGCCTGGTTACTTGCTTTTTAGCTTTCAGGTACACAAGTCTCACCTTGGCCCAGATAACCTTTTTTTCTAGTAGGTAAATACTTGTGTATGGTCTAGTCATTCTGCCATTTTGCCAGGGCGTTCTTCTGAGCAACAAATTTACTCAGCCTGTGTTTAGACTGTACGTTTGGTTAACTTCCACTCACTAGGTCTTCTAGCTGATTTCATGAAAATGGTTTATATTAGCCCAAGGTCTCAGAGAGGAAGGTAAACCTGATGAGAGAACTAACTTTTTTGAGCGTGTGCTATGTATATATCAGGCCCTCTGTTAGGATTCTCATGTATGCTGTCATAGAGGTTTTATTGAAGTCCCGAGCATGGGTGATCTTCCTCACATTTTATAGCCAAGAAACGTGAGGTTCAAGAGTGTTTAGAATTATAGCCCAGTTTCCTCATCTCATAAGAGCTGGAGTGGAGATTTGAACATAGTCCATCAGTCTTCATGGACTATACCATTTTTCCAAGCAGTGGGGTCCATTTTAGGGCTTGGGTCAGAAGCCTCCTTACCCCAGGTGAACGGAAGGAATTTCGCCTTTTCAGAGTGGGGTTGATTTCATTTCTTTGTGTTGAGTTTTTGTACTCATGGGTTCCAACCCAGGGTACCCTGGGATAGGAGCTACAGATGAAATCATTCAAATCTTACCTTTGGAAATACAGGTCAATTCCCATTACTATGAACTCCAAGTCTCACATCAAATATTGCTTGAAATACGTGGGCTGTCAGCCAGAGCTTGAAAGGGTTTTTGTTATACAGACATCTCTGTTGTAAAGGTATTTGTTGCGATGGGATTTGGAAAGTATAATGACATTCCTCTCAGAGGATTACAGCCCTTAGCCGCTTACATAGAGACAGTCACCACTTCCTTTACATCGATACCTATGTGTGCCACATATTATTTTGCCTGTTCATATGTAAAGTAGGATGCTAAATTTGCATTGATTTTGACTCTGTCAGCATGGTACAATTATCATGTTTTCACAGGGCTGATGTCAGAGCTTCAGAAACCAGAATTACTGGAGGCTCTGTCTAAATGTGATTTAAATTATCTAAGTAAGATTTTTTGGCGTGGCCTTGATTTATTGTCTTACTGACCTTGATGGTTCTAAGGAAAGAGACAAAGTTAGGTTATTACCTAATCCAGGTGAGTTAGAGCTTTTGCATTTGATATTCTGTTTAATCTGCAGGTGCAAAAACTTGGTCCTATTTTCATCCTTTAATAGAAAGAGTCTAAGCTCTTTCTTCTCCCAGTAGATGTCTGTATTGACCCAACAGGCCCAGCAAGGCTGAGGAACTAGGCTAAGTAAACTGCTCCACCTGTTAGGACTTAGGGGGTTCTCGGTGGTTCTCAGCTGAGTCTATGGATGGATAAGAACATGGCTTTTGAAATCAGACAAGGCTAAGGTCAGGTTAAGTCAGGTTTTGGCTCTGCCACTTCCTAGGTGTCAGCCTTGGGCACTTTCCTTAATCAAATATGAAAATGGGAACTGTCTTCATGGGGCTTCTGGGGTGATAAAAATATGTGTTTTGCCCAGAGCTGGAACTGGTAGGAGTCTCTGTTGTGACAGACGTTATTGTGATACTTGTTATCCTCATCATCACCGTTTCCAAGAACTTACAGTTCAGTAAGAACAATAAGCTAAGTTCTCAGGCAGTCGAAATATAAAAGGCATGAGGACAGAGTGAGAAACAAAGAGATGGGCATACTGCAATCTTGGAAGTTCAGAGAAAGAACAGTTAATTTTCAGCTTACAGAAGATAGGGATGATGGCATCTTTGAAAATGATAATAGGATTTCAATGAGTAAAGACAATGTTGAACATTGCAAATAGATGGATCGACCTGACTCAGGCAGCAGGTGAGAGGAGCAGGGTGTATTATGGGGACTGTGAATTCTGCCAGAGTTCAGAGGAAATGTGAAAGACATGAAATGAAATGGAAGAAGAGAAAATAATGGAGCCTATAATTTATAGGTCTGAGCCAATTCTTAGAAGACCTTCATCCTCAGGATAAAAAAATGAAATTTCTTTGTTAGACAGTTGAGGATCTAGAAAGCATACTTTAGCAAAAAACAGACTGCAGGACTGGTGCACCATGTTGACTTGCGTTGAAAGAAGGATGAAGTCTGTCGGGACTGCAGAGAGAGAGGACTGCATGAAATAGACATAACAGTGGTGGACGGACAGGGACTTGATGGCTTAAGTTGGGGCAATGGTAATGAGATCTTGGCTTAAATGGAAGAAATAAGGAAGCAATCAGCAATGGTAGGAACAAAAAAGAGAAATACTAAGTTCAGTTTTGATTTTGCTGAATCTGAGGTGCCACAGAATTGTCAAAGGATGCAGGCCAAAAGAAAAAAAAAGCCATCCCATTTGGTAATTGGGAGGACTTTGGAGAGCATTTCAGAAGAACAGTGGAGGTTAGGGAGGGGAAAAGGAATTGATCTGTGGAGATGGGGGCTGTGAGTGTAAAACTACCTTTTCTTGGTTGGTCTGGTCATGAAAGAAGAAAACTCAGAGGTGCTGCTGCTTTTTGTGCAAATATAAAAAGATGGTAAAAGAAGACCAGAAAGAGGATCTTTGAAGAGAGTGAAAGAAGGAAGAGTTCAGGTAAGAGAGTAGAAAGTCGCTTAATTTGAGACAGAGAGGCAGTTAAGAGGAAGCAACCACACAGAAAATTTCAGTATAATGAAGGGAATTAGGTGACATTGCATACAGATGCATTCAGTCTTCATGGTCACTATAAACATTTGAGAAATCCAGGTGGAGTTCCAGACTTAAGAAGAATGGGAAAGGCTTAAAAATGACTGCTTTGGAAAATTCTGTAGGGGAAAGAACAGCAGAACTACTGAAGAGCAGTAAAATTCAGTTGACTCAATGGGTCCTGATGGTTGTGGTTCTAGATGACCCATCTGTGAGAGGATAACTGAGTCCTAGGGAGCCAGGAGCTGCAGGTGGGTAAGGCAGCTGAGATAGAAGATCAGGAAGGAAAACAAATAGGTATTCTCTCCAAGGTCCACAGCAGGGAAGCCAGTAAAGACAAAGCTTGCTTCCAGGTTGGGAGAAGGAAGAGTTGAAGGCTTGG